GTTTCTCTGTATTTTGGAATGACCCAGGCCTCCTGGACTTGAATTTAAACCAAGCAGGTTCTCTATGTATGGTGAGAAATTTAGCTTGGCTGCTGAGTGCTCAAGGCCACTCTTCCTAAGATGATTGTTTCAAAGGAAGCGGCCTTGGATAAGGGGCCATACAGAAGGGAGCTTCAGAGTCTCGGGCAGGCAGTCGGGTAAGAGGGAAGCTATGCCAAGGCTTCTCAGGAGGAGGGTGTCCAGATGGCTACTGTTTCCAGCTAAGATAACATCAAAAGCACATGCTCCCATTGGCGGAGTCCTTGACGGTCTGTCAGCAACATAGATCACAGCCACTCTCTCTTTCCATACTCTCACAGTTCTATGCGGTCAACAAGGCAGCTTTTACGTCAACTTTTGCAGAGGAACAACATCCAGCAGTTGAAGTGTTCAAGTGACTTGCCCAAGGCCACAGAACTGGTTAGAACAGGACCCGCACAGGATATCCAGCTTCCCAATTCCTGGGCCAGTGTCTGTCTCCTAAAACCCACTTCCTCTCCTGAGCATAAGGCCAACACCCACTAGGGAAGATAATACAAGAGAAAACAGTAATAATATACCTAAGGAACAGAGGGGCCGTGGGGGGAGTTATCTCTTCTCTCCATTTTGGATAAGTGGGTTCACCTCTGTTTGGTGTACACACTCCCCTCCCCTTTAAGACATATTTATGATTATTCTACATGGTTACCGTATAACTGCTAAAACTAAATCACAGTTAGGCAAATATTTTTCCTTTCTAGAATAATCACCAGTGTCTACATGGCTGGGCTTTATCTGGTTAGTGGATTGCATTTTCCCCTCATATGAGACTGTGGATCCACAACGTACATTTCTGGTGAACTGAAACTGAAAAGAACAAGGACATGTACTATAGAAATGTGGGATTTCTAAGACATCACAGGTATCTTTTTTTTTTGGAGAAAGGGTCTTACTCTGTCACGCAGGCTGGAAAGCAGTGGTACAATCATGGCTCACTGCAGCTTCTAACACCTGAGCTCAAGCAATCCTCCCACCTCAGCCTTCTGAGTGGCCTATAGATTACAGGTGTGGGCCACCGTGCCCAGCTAATTTTTGAATTTTTGTAGAGATAAGGTCTTGCTATGTCACCCAGGCTGGCTTCAAACTGCTGGAATCAAACAGTCTCCCAGGCTTGACCTCCCAAAGGGATGGGATTACAGGCGTGAGCCACTATGCTGGCCACAAGTGTCTTTAAAGACATCAAACAGAGTGCCTGGTGTGGTAATCTACAGGGCGAAATGCAAGAGAGAAATAATACAAGTATTGCTACATACTAGTAAAATCTATATTTATCTTTACATGGACTAAAGGAACTTACAGAATCAGAAAGCAAAAACATCAATAAAAGCGTACAGTGGGTAAAAGGAGACGGGACATGAAAACCAGAGATTTGCGTTTTTCCTTGTTTCCTAGTGAAACACAATATTGAGGTTTGCTACTTTGATACAGAAATGTTTCAGTAAGAAGTTCAGAAATTCTGCCTGAAATGAACTGTCAATGCTTTAGGAAGGGACAGGGGAAAAAAAAAAAAAAGAGAAAGTCACAATTAATACTAGGATGGTGCAAAAATAATTGTGGGTTTTGCCATTTAAAGTAATGGTGAAAGTCGCAATTACTTTTGCACTAACTATAACAAATCTTAGTAGATTGTTCCTTACTGGATGAGCATGTATCAAAAGCAGAAGCAGGTTTCTCAGTCCTATCAACCGATTGAGAATTTGTACAATGAATGTCTTTTAGTCAATCGACAGTAGCAACAAGACATTTTAAATTATTCACAATACCAAAATAATTATGTTATTAGATATCTAAATTAAAATGAGAAATGTGCTGCCCTCGAAGAGGGAATGGCTTTTTTTTTTTTTTTTTTTTTTAAACGGAGTCTCCTCTGTCTCCCAGGCTGGAGTGCAGTGGCACAATCTTGGCTCACTGCAACCTCCGCCTCTCGGATTCAAGCGATTCTCCTGCCTCAGCCTCCTGAGTAGCTGGGACTACAGGCGCCTGCCACCATGCCCAGCTAATTTTTGTATTTTTAGTAGAGATGGGGTTTCACCATATTGGCCAGGCTGGTCTTGAATTCCTGGCCTTGTGATCCGCCCATCTTCGCCTCCCAAAGTGCTGGGATTGCAGGTGTGAGTCACCACGCCCGGCCTTTTTTCCTTTTTTTAACCAAATTCTGCTACTACAACATGAAACTCTCCCATCAGGGAAATGCTCAACAAGACCTTATCACCTTTAACTACTAAGAGATTCTGGCAGCCAAAACATTTGAGTCCTAATTCTTCATCCCCATTCACTTCTTTTTTTCTCTTTTTTTTTTTTTTTTTTGAGATGGAGTTTCACTCTTGTCCCCCAGGCTGAAGTGCGACGGTATGATCTTGGGTCACTGCAACCTCTGCCTCCCCAGTTCAAGCGATTCTCCTGCCTCAGCCTCCCAAGTAGCTGGGATTACAGGCACGAGCCACTGTGCCCAGCTAATTTTTGTATTTTTAGTAGAGAAGGGGTTTCACCATGTTGGGACAGGCTGGTTTCGAACCCATGAACTCAAGTGATCCGCCCTCCTCAGCCTCCCAAAGTGCTGGGATTACAGGTGTGAGCCACTGCGCCCATTCACCTCTTTCTTCATTCTATTCAATGGCAGACCTGGCACAATTACTTGTGGATGTGTAAAGGACATAGGTAATAAACTGGGCACACCAGTTGTGTTTTAGCACGAAAAATACTCGGCCTCACTCATACTCTCCACTCTAATACATCTTAAAAAAAAAAACAAAAAAAACTCCTTTCCCAATACTGATTATCTAATGCATTTCAACACTCATCAATTTCCAGAAAGAACATGTTAAGGAACCAACCCATGTACATGCAATTCCTCATCCATCAACCTTGTTACATCCACCCAACTAACCAATCAATAAACCAGAACCAGAAAGTACTCTCAATATAAGTGCAAGATGATCGATGAAGGCCACGGGGCTGACGGTAGCATCTCCATCCTCCTTGTGATTTAGGAACTTAACGTGCATTCTCTCTTCAACTAAACATAAAGAGATCAAAAGATCACCTTTATTATGAAGCAGTATGCCCCAAGGGCCAGACGATGAGTTCAGCAGTAAGTGTTTCTACTCTCCAGAGGGAAACATTATAGATGGCTACGTTTAGAAAATACAATAGAAAGAAGAAAGTATCTAAACAAGGTCTTGAAGGATGACCAAGTAGAGAAATACCACGTGCTTTTCCACCAAAGGGGTTGGTGATTTCTGCTGCTGTGATTAACCAAGGGAAACAACAGCCCTGAATGAAAATGAATCACCTTCCATGAACTCTTAGAAGTTACGCCAAAATGAGCTTTTGATTATTGCCTTCAGTATTTAAGATATAGACTGAGGTATTCCCAGTAACTTATTAGGATTGGCTTTTGAGAGTTAAAATGAATCAACACATGACTGAACAAAAATTGAGATAAACAAAGCCACATAAAGAAAAGAGGTAAGTTGCCAGGCCATCAAGTCTAGTCTACAACCTCCCTGAGCCTGTACACACATCTAACGAGAGAATAAACATTTGCCATAGGAATTTCCGGTCAGCCACAGAAGGCTGGAACCCACTAACAGAGGCAAGACCCAGTGATGCTGAACTACAAGGGCTGCAGGCAAAGAAACAACTTTAGAATAAACAGTCTTTGTGGGCGGGGCGCAGTGGCTCACGCCCGTTAATCCCAACACTTTGGGAGGCCAAGACAGGTGGATCACTTGAGGTCAGGAGTTCAAGATCGGCCTGCCCAACATGGTAAAACCCCGTCTCTACTAAAAACAAACACAAAAAATTAGCCGGCCATGGTGGCTCACACCTGTAATCTCAACACTTTGGGAGGCCAAGACAGGTAGATCACTTGAGGTCAGGAGTTCAAGACCAGCCTGGCCAACATGGTAAAACCTCATCTCTACTAAAAATACAAAAGAAAAAAAAATTAGCCAAGCGTGGTGGCACACGCCTGTAGTTCCAGCTACTTGGGAGGCTGAGGCAGAATTGCTTGAACTTGGGAGGCAGAGGTTACAGTGAGCCGATATCATGGCACTGCACTCCAACCTGGGCAACAGAGCGAGACTCAGTCTCAAAAAATAAATAAATACAATAAAAAAATAAAAAGTCTTTGTGGATTCCAAAGTTAACATTAAGGAAAGAGCTTTCTACACGGGAGATGAGGCAGGCTTGCTGCGAACAGACTTTGAGCATCCTTGGTAGCTGTTCTCAGTTTGATCATGTTAAACGCTAGATTTACTTGGTTCCGATTCCTGTTTATCATGGAGAGGATGCACTGGCTCCTTGTAATTTCCCTGTGAACTGACACACCGTATTAGCATTCTGAGGTCAAACCAGTGTTGGGAGAAAGAATACTGTGAGTCTGCCAAAAAGGTGACTCTCAGACCACAACTTAACACTATTCAAGTTTCTAAGTCTGTAAGGTATGCGGGCCAAGGTAAAGAATGTCATCCTCACGCGGCTAAGCCCTGGGATATTGACAAATTTCAGTTCACTGGTATACATGAAGAGGCTAAGAGCATGACTCAGGTTCCTTATTAACAAATTAATAATAATTGCCCCTACTTTATAGGAATGTTGTGAGGAGTCATAGTTTCTGGCACTTAGGAAAGACTGCAGAAGTGTTTGTGGTGATTATTATCATTAGTACTTTCACAATCAGCATGTTTATCATTTGAGAAAAGACAGCTAGAACGATTACGCCCACTTACTCCACTACCCGCTATCCGTGACCCAGCTCTGGGGAAATAAGAATCTGCTGCTTATCAGCCTTGTGTGATCCAGGGAGGATGCATCCCACTCCATGAAGTCAGCCAGTAAGGAGCTGACACCCTGTAAAGGACCTATAGGCTGAGGACCCAGAGTGAACCTGGGGCTCCAAGCCACAAGGGGAAACTCACCACGTAGAGCTTTCGCCAGATGACAGCCCATTCTCGCAGAGTGGATGTGAGCTCCTGCACCAGGGGAAGCTCGCCAGGAATCACGGTTTCATGCTGCCTGCAAAGAACCAAATGAAGGTCACTTTATTCCAGGCTGATCGGTACTGCTTTACTTGATGGGGATCAGACTCCCCAATGCGCAAGGATGAGAATGAAGCTGGTTGGGCATGAGGGCAGGAGTTGTGCAGGGGACTTTATCACATCCAAGCATCTGGGAGAAGAGAGAGAATAAGACAGCACAGTCCTCAAAATGGGCTCAGTTCCTGCAATTGAATGAGCCTGCAGCCCAGCCTCGATCTCCCCAATGTGGATTTCTCCAGGAGGCTCAATTACTGAGCCAGGCTGGCTTCAGTGATTCTCAAAGATGGAAGCAAAATATGCAGCATTTTAGCTGGTACCACCAAGCAGCTGTTTCATTTGGGAGGCTGGATGGAAAGGTGTGTGTGGCATGAGTGTCCTGGGGCTATGACTTCACCCAGAACGTGGTTGGGGCAGGGGCCAGGGTAGGGGTACAGGGCACGGAGGCAGCACCCCTTTCTGGATAGTCCAGTGTTTTCTTATCATCCGCAGTTTCACAACATAGAAAATGTACACTTAACAAAATCCTTGCTTACTCACAGAAGACTCTCATAAAGGTAGGTACCATGTACTATGTTTATTCACATAAATCCTCTCTGGCATTTTTATGATTAGCAAAAAGAAAAAAGGAGAAAACAAGAGCAAGCAAACAAATGGGAATTGGTGGTAGGACTGCCAGGCTTAATGAGGAAAAATACAGGAGGCCTAGTTAAGTTTGAATTTCTGGTAGAGTAAGAAGATTTTTTAGAGTAAGTGTGACCCATGAAATATCTGGGAAATGCTCACTATGAAAAACTACTTACTATTTGAATTGCCAATGTAACTGGGCATCCTGTACAACCCTAACTGGTGTGAATGTGCCTCCCCACCTACGTTTCCATCAACATGGTGGGCAGCAGTGGAGGGAGCCCATGGCCGACCGGAAAGAGGACTTCTCCAGCAGGGCAGGAGACCTGGTTTTTGGTCCTGGTTCTGCCACCAAAGAGCTGCATGGCTTTGAGGACATCTTGACCATTGTCTGTGAAATGATGGTGCTGTCATTTCTTGTTTCCTGTGCTGTATCTGAGAGTCTGGAGTGATGAAGACCTCTGTGCTCTTAGGCGGGTCCTTCCTCTTTTTTTTTTTTTTTTTTTTTTTTTTTTACTGTTTTGGAATTGTTTTGGACTCGACCCAGCAACAGTTTCAACGTGTTCTGATGATTGGTTGTTAGTCAGAATGAAAATAAGGCCCTTTGATAACAACACGGAAATTAGAATTGGTGACATACACCTGGGAGATAACTGTCCTATAACAAGACTGTTCTCATTTAACTATGAGTTTTCTTATCCTGTCACTTCTTGTGGAATCAAGAAGATGATGTTCCAAAGAAATGATGTTGCCCAATTATCAGAGGTCAGTGACAGACCAATGTTGCAACTACCTACGAATTTCCAGTGGTTTGCTATGTGAAGAGGCTTAAATTCCTATCCATGATGCATCTTGGAATGAGCGGGTTTGAGGCCAACGCCTTGAAAGATACTACTCAAAAAATGAAAGGACAGGAGTCATCAGCTCCCACACAAAGTAAAACATGTGAACCTAATTTTAGCAGTGTTAATAAGGAGCAATTATCCACGAGTCACTGCAACAAAAACGCCTGTGTTCTAACATCCTCTCCTCCCTGAGGCACGGGAGCAAGTGGCACATACTTGTCTGGGAACCAGTTTCATCAGTTTTGCTGTTGCATGGGTCCAAAAATGAGGAGCAGTATCTGTTACCAATTTCACTACCTTTTGGAGTTTTGGATACCATTATCTATACCATGATATTTACACTTTTTAATGAGCTAATTTTAAGTGGAATTGCCATTCTAATTTTGTGAAATCAAGTTCATACAAAATAAAGCTTGCCAATAATAATAATAATGATGATGATGATAATAATAAAGAAATGATGGTGCTGAACTACAACTGGGAACGCTCTTTCTAGCTGTGAGGCTGCATGGCTCTGTGACCCAGCTGTCCATTCTCTCCTCGGCCCCACTCTCCTCTCCATCAGCCCCAGGATTCCAGTCCTACCCCAGCCTCTCCTTACTGCCTCCAGAACTCTCCTGTCCGGAAACTCACCACCACCGAAGTGACCTCTCTCTCCTACTTGAGTAAGTAGCTCACTCTTCTTAGCTGTCACAGAGGCAGTACTTCCCAGGACAAATGAGGTGGGCAAGATGAGGTGGGCAAGAAATACAAATACCCAAAACGTAGCCAACAGATCTTATCTGCAGGGCACATTTGCATACATTACCTCATTCAAATCTCATGACAAGCTCATGATCAAAGTAGGGCCAGATCGTTTTCCCCTAATATGCTGTGAAAAACCCAGGATCCCCTTGAGGCTAAATGACTCATCCAAGGCTCAGAGCTGGTAAATGCAGGCTGTCACTTAATCATCTATCTCTCAAGGATCCTAAATTGGGGGCTTCTCAGATCTTATCAGTCAGCATCCCAAATGTTCATGTGTGCAAATACACACACACACACACACACACAATCAGTGAACAGGTAATAAAAATAATGTAGAGGCAAAAGCCCTCAGTTTGCTACTTCTGTGTTTAGTATTCTGGAGAAGTAATGCAAAGGAGGAATTATATCAGTGAAAAGTTTTTCTTCATTTCTCTCTCATAGGAGAAGTAGAACTGACGAGATGACAGTTTTTTTTGTTTGTTTTTTTTTGGGGGGGGACAGTCTCGCTCTGTCACCCAGGTTAGAGTGTAGTGGTACGATCTCAGCTCACGGTGAGCTCTGCCTCCTGGGCTGGAGTGATTCTCCTGCCTTAGCATCCCCAGTAGCTGGGATTACAGACGCCCATCACCAAGCCTGGCTAACTTTTGTATTTTTAGTAGAGATAGGGTTTCACCATGTTGGCCAGGCTGGTTTCGAACTCCTGACCTCAAATGATCCACCCACCTCAGCCTCCCAAAGTGCTGAGATTACAGGCGTGAGCCACCACGCCCCGCCTGAGATGACAGAGCTATTAACATACATAAGGCATTAATGCCCTAAGATTATCATTAATGATAATGTTACATCTTCATCATTTTGGGGGAATCTTCCCAGCTTGGAACTTACCCCAGGTCTTCCACAGTTGCCTCTTTCAAATGGATATACGTTTCAGGGAAAATGCCCTACAGAAAAAAGAATTTTGGTTATATGGCCATAAAAACAAAACAAAAACAAAAGCCAAACAAAAACCACCTCAGCCCAAAGTAAACAGAATAAATGTGAACACCCAGGCAATAGCTAAACTCCTGAGATCAGGTTTGCAGGACATCACTTATCCTGGCTGGCTACCTCAACAAAAGCATGGTGGAAACATCAAAAAGGTAGAAATTAAAATTTGGGTTCAGAGAGCATAGAACACTTTGTGAATGAAGAGGCAAACATGCTGTGTCAGCTCTGAGATAACATAATGGGAAGGAGTGTAACTGTGAGCTCCTAAACCCCTTAGATGCTACTTGCCATGAGATGCTTCCCATAAAGGGTTTCACATAAGGGGTGACGTGGAAACTATGCAGTACTCAGTAGCCCATAAAATAAGTCATCCCTCAGAATATGCAAGGGATTGGTTCCAGAAACTCCCTTTCCACAAAGCATATACCCAAATCCGCACATACTCAAGTATGGCACACAGTCCTGCAAAACCTGCATGTACTTTTACACAGGTTTCATGTCCCAAGAATATTGTAATTTTGATTTGCATTTGGCTAAAAAAAAAAAAAATCCATGTGTAAGTGCTGCGGAGTTCAAACCCACATTTTTCACGGGTCAACTACATGGTGATTTTTCTAAAGTCGTTCCTCTCAGCACTCCCACTTAAACCAAATGCACTCAAAATCAACGGGTGTTAGTTACCTGGTTATTTTCAGCACCTCACAGTCTCAAACTGCTCTCCATTCTATATCCCTAAGAGGCAATTCTACATCAGCATTGTAAGACTGCCCCTGGGGAACACTTAGGCCTGGAAAGACCTAAGAGAAAGAGGAGAAACTGGTGGACAGAAATCAGAGAACGGAGGACCAGATCTAACCAACAGGAAGCAAGTCCCAGATGTGAGTGTTCTTATGCGTACCAAAGCTTCTGCTGTTTACTGTGTGATATATTCACGCACAGACAGAGGAGACGCCATCTGGAGACAGCGATGCTGATCTATTTCATGGTCTCTTATATGGAGCTTATAGCTGGCACTGTTGGCTAATTGCTCCTAGCCCTATTCCTGGAAGAGTTGGTGTGAACTCCATGAACATGACACGTCAGGGGTGGCTGATCATAAAGGTGGGAGGGGATGTCCCAGTGCCTGGAGGCATATATACCCACTGATCCTTACTCCACTCAGACAGGAAACCAGTGAACATTGACAGGGTTGTTCTTGTGTCCACTTGCATGTGCTATATTTGTCTGTACAATACCCTGCTTTCTCTCTTTTAATCCATTGCCAATAAAACAGGAAACAGCAAGAACATTTGAGATCAAGCTGCTCCTAGCACTGGTGATGACAGAGTGGATCCTGCACATGCTTTCCCACCAAACACAGAGCCCCAAAATAAAAAAGCATCCCTTCTCCTCCTTGCTTTGAGAAGCGGGCAGACGTTGGGAACATGAGTGAGAAAGCATGACTCTAATTCCATTACTGATGAGACCAAGTACACACATAGATGCAAGGTGACAATGACCTCTTTCATTACGGAGGTGGGATTCAGAACTATTTTGGAAAACTGATCAAATAATTGAAAACAAAAATTAAATGTGTGTCTACTGTGGGGCACAGTAGACAGGACATTTTCTCAATGTGCCACCTCTCAGGTCAGTTGAGCTTGGCCAGGGAATTCTATGAGTATAAAAGATACATGCATAGGCACACCATCTAAGTGAAAAAGAAGGAGATAAGCCTTCTGACTTTATTCATTCATGCATTCATTCATTTATTCATTCTTTGAGACAGTCTCGCTCTGTCGCCCAGACTGGAGTACAGTGGCACAATTTCGGCTCACTGCACCTCTGCCCCCCGGGCTCAAGCAATTCTCCTGCCTCAGCATCCCAAGTAGCTAGGATTACAGGCATGCACCACCATGCCCAGCTAATTTTTGTATTTTTAGTAGAGACAGGATTTCACCATATTAGCCAGGTTGGTCTTGAACTCTTGACCTCAAGTGATCCGCTCACTTCAGCCTCCCAAAGTGCTGGGATTACAGGTGTAAGCCCCCATGTCTGGTCTATTTAACTTTTTAAATGATCAAAACAGGGAACTGTCCTTCGCAGTGCCTGGCATGCAGCAGGCACTGAGTAAACATCTGATGAATATAGCAGTGAGGAAAGCGGGTGTTCAGTTCACAAACTGTGTGCGATTCCTCTGGGGCCTGATTTCTGCAGTGTGGAAGCTCTAGGCCTGTCCCTAGGATGCCTAATGAACTGTAGGTGTTTCTTCTGCCTGCTGTGCCGCTGCACCATGGTAAATGATTTGTTGACTATCATCTCTGTGGGGAACCAAACTGGGATGTTGGGAATTAACCTTGAAGACATTACACTAAGTGAGATAGGCCAGTCACAAAAGGACAAATACTGTATGGCTCCACTTACACCTGGAGTAGTTAAATTCATAAAGACGGAAAGTACAATGGGGGTTCTGAGGAGCTTGCAGGGGATGGGGGACAATGGGGAGTTAAAGGGACAGAATTTTAGTTTAGAAAGATGAAAGACTTCTGGCGATGGATGGTGTTGATGGTTGTACAATGAGAATGTACTTAGTGCCACTGAAATGTACACTTACAAATGGTTAAGATGCTAAGTTTTATGTTATATATATTTTTACCACAATAAAAAAAAGTCCAAAACTCATAAAAATGCAGGAGTGGGGCGGGGGAGGCGCTGAGCAGGGATAAACTGTTTAGTTACAAGGATCCAATTCTGGAAGTCAAAAGTGAAATGTTACATTGCTACTACAAAAGAACCTCCTTGCTGAAGGTTTTTGAAATCAGAAAGTAAAGGACCAATTAAAAGTTTCATGCATTCACAATCTGGTGACTAGTCCCTCCTAATAAACGGAGAACATTCAAGTTAGAAGTATTCGGAAACATAAATGCACAGTGATGAATTTTGTGACATCTAAGCAGATCATAAGCAGACAATTCATACTAGGTGTTCGGACATGATTGTTTTCATATTAAAAGAATATTTAAGGCAGGGCAGACTGGATCATGCCTGTAATCCCAGCACTTCAGGAAGCCAAGACAAGAGGATCGCTTGAGCCCAGGAGTTCAAGACCAGCCTGGGCAACAAACTGAGACCACCGTCTCTACAAAAAATTTAAAAATTAGCACAGAATGGTGGCACATGCCAGTGGTCCCAGCTACACGGGAGGCTGAGGCAGAAGGATTGCTTGAGCCCAGGAGGTCAAGGCTGCAGCGAACCACGATTACGCCACTGTACTCCAGTCTGAGCAACAGACTGAGATCCTGTCTCAAATATATGTATGTATGTATGTGTTATATTACCACTCTGTCATCTGTAGGCTTCACCTTTCCATGATGACACTTGGCAATTTACAGTCATAGAATTGCTCTGGTAAATTTGATGCTTATAGAATGTCTCCTATGCCACGACGGCACACAGAAAGTCAGAGTAAACCTAGGTCATGTGTTTCTGATTTACAGCCTATCTCTCAGTTCTGCTTTTCCTTGCTCCTTGTAAGCCACTCACTTTGAGTAGAAAAATAAACGAATGATTTTCTAGATGTCGCCCTTATCCACACTCCCACAATTCCGCCAGGATCAATGATCAGTTTCGGAAAAGCACTTGGCTTCTTCGATTTGTAAAACCACTAGCTCCTTTTATCATCACTCTAAATGACTGAGTCAGCTTATAAATGACACCAAGAATTTCCATTAAAACATTAGGGCTTGCAAGTAGCTCTGTCCCCTAAAGATGGAGAAATGAGGGACACAGCACAGGAGAGCACTTCTAATGAGCTGATCTCTTAATGAAGGGGTGTCAGAAGCAGAGCAGAATTCCCGGCAACTGAATTTGAATTCCCTGTATTTTCCCTGGATCTCTCCACACGAAGGATATTTCGACTTAAAACAACCAGCAAATAAATGCATGGCCCTTGTCTATGTCATCGTTTCATTGAATTAGAAAGTTTTTCTTTACTATCAAGAGAACAAAGAGAAATTCTCACTGAAAGATTTCCTCTAAAGGGTGAGATTTTAAGCTTAAAGGTTTTAAGCACTCTTTAATGAACACAAAAAAATTAAAAACATATCCAGAATTTATCATTTAGATCCTGGTGGGGCACCCTATGTATCTACTGTTCAAAGCCAACAACAATGGCACTATTAGCTAGATTGATTTTTATATACACAAGGCCCTCCATATCATGGGTTCAACCAACCGATGATTAAAAATATAGAAAAAAAGTAAGCAGAGGTTTATTTCCTTGTCATTATTCCCTAAACAATATGGTATAATAACTATTTACATAGCAATTACATTGTATTAGGCATTATAAATAATCTAGACATGATTTAAAGTACATAGGAGGAAACACAGAGGTTATATGCAAGTATGACGCCATTTTATATCAGAGACTTGAGCATCCATGGATTTCGGTACTGTGGGGATCCTGGAACCAATCCCCTGTGGAAATGAGGAATGACTGTATTAAAAAATCATAGGATACTTTGGAAAGCAAGGTCTTCCATGTTCAAAAGGATCCTTACATACTGTAGTCTGCGAAAAGGAAGACCTGATCTAGGACCTTGGTTGAATGTAATTGAATTTCCCAGTGAAAAATCACAAGAGTTTCATTTGTTCCTTAAGTTCATCACATAATTTTGAGGATGGCTTTTTGTTTATTTTTAAATTAACATTTTTAAATAAAAAAAGACTGGGAATTAAGTGACATAAGTATTCTTACTGTTGAACAAATTCGGAACATCAAAATTGTTAGCTCCAATTGTGCTTTGAAATAACTACCACTGCCATAACCGTGAGTAAAATTAACACCAATAGGGCTAAAAAAGCAGGAGTGGCCATCATCAAGTACTCTGTGCCACTGAGGATCCCAGAAGAAAAGTTTTCACTTGAGTTCTATCATGTTCTCATTTATTCTGGCATGCCTGCTGTCTTGGACCCCTATCTGACGGCCCAGAGAAACCGAAGTCAGCAAGAGATTAAATGAAAATAATTCGGTTTGAAATAAAGACGTGTGATACAAGAATAACTGTGGGTAGAAAAGTTCATTCTCTGGCTTGGGGGGAGAAAAAAGGACCAAAATTGTGGGAGTTGCATTTAAAGCAAACATTCCTTTATTGTGCTAGATTAGTAAACTGTCAAAGGTAACAAAATGTGTATGTGCACACATACGTGTGCAAATACTGAGTGTGATTTAAGCATCAATCATGCAGAAGCAGTCCTGGTTTCTAATGAACTATACCTTGTAGAAAGGTGTTTTCCTGGGCCCCGTACTCTTTAGAAAGTTGGGTGTGTAACATCAGCCTGTTTGTGCAGGATTACGTCTTTCTCATGCTGTCCGTGAAGAGTAAGAACCGCGGGTCTGGTTTTGTTTTTTCACTCCTCTTTTGATAAATTCTAAAACGTTTCTCTCATCCCTTTCCTAATTTGCTATTTGGCATGTGAACTAATTGTGAAATAATACGGCCCTATCAACTCTGCTCTTTCAAAAGGAAGTGCTGACATGTCATGCTGCCCCAGCGAGCAGTATCAAAGGAAAAGTGCTGACAAGACCTAAAAGAAACTGAGGTGGGTATTAACATAATTAATAGATTTTCTTTAGCCTGACGATTAGTAGTTTTGGCACCGGCAAAAGGATCCATTTAGGTCAGTATTTTTCAAACTGTGCCTTTGTTGCACAGTAAGAGATACATTGTTATGGCAACCAGTGTTACCTATGAAATACATAAAATATAATAAAAACAATAAATTATATACTGAAAATAAAAGTTTCATGAAACAGTACTTACCATTGCATCTCATGTTCTCTACTTTTCGGTTTCATTTTTTGGAAAAAATTGGTTATAATCCGCTATATGGATTTCATAATGTATTACTGGGGTATGAGGCTCACAATATGAAAACCACTCTTGTTTACCCAATTTACAATGAAGGAAAGGATCAAGCGGAAATGGGGAGATCCTTTAGTCTGGAACTGTAGCATGGGAAGTAAAGGATAAAGGAAGAAGTGTGGGTCCACCCCTCCCTGAAAGAGAGATCCCACTAGAGCAATGAATGTGTTACCAACTTGCTTAACTTGAGGGACAGGAAGTAAAAATTCTTCCAGGACTCTCTCCTTGAATTGGCTGGTGGGAAATACAGTCAATGGGATTTACACTATTACATTTAGGCAGTGAGGTCAGAGAATTTGTTTTCAAATTCAAAGAAGAGCCATCAAAGGGAAAGCAAACTAGGTCTAGAGACAGCAGAGAGCAGAGGAGAGGGTCACATAGCACAGTACAAAAGCAGATAGATTTCAAATGAAATAAAAAGTGGATGATAAATCATACCTTTTTAGATTTATTTTGGAGGGTATATCCTCTGTACCAACCTGTCAGGGCAAAAGAGAACACAAAATATTTTATGTTTTCTGGGATATCAGAAAGGTATTAGCAATATATACTCTCGTGTTCTACTAGCAATACTGAGAAGCAACAATTGACAGAGATGATTAACAGATAGTACGTTAGAAGATGAATGTTTTAGTTTATTACACAATAAAAATCTAACTGAATTTTAGAGCTGTATTCTCTTAATAACAATCGAATTTAAAATTCACGTAGAACCAAGCCTCATCTCTACTCCTTTGGAGGAAGAACAGAACAACAGCTTAAAAAAAACAAAGACACACACACACACACACACACACACACACAAGACATCTCGTTTCTTATCACCCTAATACCTTACAGTCATTTAATAAATGTTTTTGCATGAATAAGTATGGACTTTCATTGTATACATGCTTTCTACATGTCACCTTATACTATTAAAAAAATTTTTTTAATAACTTATATTTGCTGTAACTCTTCTGAGTTCCTAGGTTAAGAACCACCATTCTGGGAAAATTTTAAATTGAACTAGCATATCTAATGGAGACAAATACTTGCACTTTAAAAATAATCCAAATAATGAACAATAAAACGAAATTGTGTGCAATTCTTGGTAATGCTAAAAGCAACACCCCCACCCCGAACCCCCATAAAAAGATCTTATGTGTTTGCTTGCTGAGGCTTTAGGTAAAGGCTTTAACTTCTTTTTAAAAATTCCGGCCAGGCACGGTGGGGCTCACGCCTGTAATCCCAGCACTTTGGGAGGCTGAGGCAGGTGGATCCTGAGGTCAGGAGTTCAAGACCAGCCTGGCCAACATGGCGAAACCCCATCTCTACTAAAAATATAAAAATTAGCCAGGTGTGGTGGTGCACGCCTGTAATCCCAGCTACTCAGGAGGCTGAGGCAGGAGAATCCCTTGCACCTGGGAGGCGGAGGTTGCAGTAAGCCGAGATCACACCACTGCACTGTAACCTAGGTGACAGAGCGAGACTCCGTTTCCAAAAAAAAAAAAAATTCCAATTAAGGCACACACCCCTACAGATATTTTCCAACCCTCAATCTTCTAGAGAGTATACAATTTAATCTGTCCCTAAACAGATTTTTTATATTAACTATTTGCTGAACACCTACTATAGGAAGTTCACTGTGATAATTTCTCTCATTCCGCATGCCCATCAACTAAAGCATCAGTGTGGTCATCTTACCCAGGTAAACCCTGTGGTATTAGGTTGGTGCAAAAGTAATTGTGGTTTTTGCCACCAAAAGTAACGGCACACATATATAAGGTAGCCATACACACACAGTGAGTAGATGCAAACTGTAATTAAAACTCCAGGCATCTGCCAATAGGATCCTAGAACTCTCTTGTAATTTGTTCTACATGAAATCAACCAGAAAATAGACACATACTCTATTTCTTACATATTACAAGTAGAAAACTGAATTTACCTTCTTTGGGCATATATTCAATAATATTTTCGCAAATATTATTGTAAAAGTAATATTTCACAAATATTTTAAACTGTGGCATTCAGACATTGAAAGGATTTGCTGCGTTTTACAGGGAGGCATGGGGTACTATGCTGTGGAACTGTGGCTTGCATCGAGGCACACGGCTGAGAAAAAGATATCTAAACAGGAAACACTTGCCCCGATTTAGGATGCCAAGTGTAAGAGATTCAGGAATAAGAAGGACACTAAGCTAAGCATTGCTCCCCAGGTCTCAAGGTCTGTACTCATGTGTATATACTTGCTTGGTTCTGTGAAAACGTGAAAATGGGCTTTTGCATGACTAAATGGCTTCGAATTTGCCCTGGGACAAGAGTGGAGCGCGAGGGGAGCAGGCTGAGAAACAAGATATTCATCTTTTCCAAGTAGTGTTTCGTAGTTCTGTGCCCTATAAAGCCAAGCTGTCACAATACAAACGTCATTCCACTTTCAAAGTAGAATTTATCTGTACTTTTGTAAACTGTATTTTGCACAGCCATTCATCACAGAGCTATGCTTCCTAAGCCTGTCATTGTTGAAAAAACTTTTTTGTTTTAATCTCCTATGTCTTCTCTAGAATTGTGGTGTGTGTATAAGCCCTATCTAAAGGCACAAAATTATTATGCTGAATTTGTGAACATGAACGTTCATTTTCCTTATATCACGCATAAGAGAACAGATCTACCTCTGGAGCTTTAAGCATATACTGTCAGAACTCCATAAATTCTATTTTAATAACTGCACAGAATATGGTAACAGTTCACGAGTATGTTCGCTCATTTCCACATTACATACCTGGGCTGTCATTCAAGCAAGAACCCAGTTTTCCAATTAATCCCGCGTATTTACAGTAAGACGATCATAATTAAATATAGTTTGCTATTAGGCTTAAGAAGGCATAACGCAAACAGGTGGCTGCAATCGGTAGGTGGTGTGAACTGGTCAGCAGGATCTCAGATGCTTTCTTAAGTTATTCCACTATTAAAATAAAGGGAATGGTGAGGGGATAATGAGTCCAGAGGGCTACTCTTGTCTATATTTAGGGGAAGTTAACAGTTCATAGCAACCATGGCGAACACCAACATATTCTAGGCTGAGGGTTGCTCTTTCAGGAGGCTCACAAGTCCTTTCTGCTTCCTTGGGATTGCTCTAATCCAGAATAAAAATCTATCCTCTCCAATTGAAAATAACAGAGAGTTGCTAATTCCACTGTCAAAATTATTTACTTTATATCTGGCTTCTCAAGTAATCTCCATGAGGCAGGACTCATCTGCTCCATTTCACTTCACCGATCCAAATGTCTCTCTGGCTGCTGCACACTTTCTGTCCAACAGATCCCTTACCTGATTCTTCTCCTCGTTACATGCAGTCATTCTACAAATCTTTATTACGCACTAATTAAGAACCAGGATGTAGTGGAAAGCAAGAGTTCACATGAAGATTATTACACTCTAATGTTAAAAATATACACAAGTAGGATGAGCTGAGATAACGACAGTGCGAAGAGGAAGAAGTGCTCAAGGAAAGTAACATGGCAGAGAATGGTTGGTAACATAGCACATTTATTTTAAATACGGTGACTGAGGACAGATTACTCTAAGAAGCTAAAAGGAATGAGCCATTAACAGATCTGGGCAAAAAAACTTCCAGACAGAAACAAATCAAGCGAGAAAGCTGTGAGGCAAGAGTAAACCTGAAGTTCAAAGACAGAAGAAAAATGGCATGGCCAGAGTTCAGTGCAAGAGACTGAGATGGGGAGAGGCAATAAGAAGGTAGTTAGAGGAGGCCCGGTTCTCAACCCTGGGCACTGATGAGATCCACCAGGAACTTTTACAAATACTGATGCCTGGGCCACACCACCAAATACTCTGATTTAACTGGACTGGGGTGAGGCCCAGACTTAATGCTTCTAAAAAGGTCCCCCGGTGATGCTAATGTGTAGCCAAGATTAATTACCAGACATAGGTATTATATGCCATGGAGAAATTCAAGTTTTATTCTAAGTACAGCAGGAAGCAGGAAGCATTGGAGGGTTTCAAATGTCATCATGCCTTATGCTTCTTTTCTTTTCTTTTCTTTTTTTTTTTTTTTTTTTTTGAGACAGTCCTGCTCTGTCACCCAGGCTGGAGTGCAGTGGTGCAATCTTGGCTCACTGTAACCTCCCCCTCCCAGCTTCAAGCAATTCTCACACTTCATCCTCCTCAGTAGCTGGGATTACAGAGCTGTGCCACCATGCCCAGCTAATTTCTTGTATTTTAAGTAGAGACAGGGTTCCACCATGTTGGCCAGACTGGTCTTGAACTCCTGACCTCCATTGATCCACCTGCCTCGGCCTCCCAAAGCGCTGGGACTACAGGCGTGAGCCACTGTGCCTGGCTGCCTTAGGCTTTTAAAAGAGCATCCTTGCTGCTATATGGGAATGGACTGCGGGATATGAGGTGTAGTAGAAAGAGGAACACCAAAGGGGAGTGGTGGGTGCAGCAGAGAGGAGGAGAGATTAAAAAAAAAAAAGCAGGATATATATATATTTGTGAGGTTTATTTTTTTTGTTTTTCTCTTGTGGCAGGATCTCACTCTGTCACCCAGACTGGAGTGCAGTGGCGCAATCACGGCTCACTGCAACCTTCGCCACCCTGGCTCAATGGATTCCACCTCAGCACCCACCCCCGACCCCTGGTAGCTGGGACTACAGGCGCATGCCACCACGCCCGGCTATTTTTTATAGAGAGGGCATCTCCCCATGTTGCCAGGCTGGTCTCGGACTCCTGGACTCAAGCGGTTCGCCTGCCTAGACCTCCCAAAGTGCTAGGATTATAGGGGTGAGCCACCACACCCAGGCACATGATATATATGAATCAACAGGCGTTGCTCATGACTTTGCTGCGGGTGGCCATGAATGGGGGAGTAAAGGCAAATTCTCAAAGGTATTTGTATCTTGGGCTTAAGCAAATAGGAGGACCGTGGTCTTTGGTATACAAAGATTGAAGAAAGGAAAAACTTGCGGAATGGGAATCAGGACAGAATCAGGAGATGGATCCTGGCCCTTCTGCTCTCCCTCCTGGGCAGCTGAGTCCTGAGCCATGGGGAGGAGCAGAGTGATTTGGGCATTTGCTATGGGGGAGGGCTGCACATCCGCAGAGGGGTCCAGACTGGCTTGGCATGTCAGAGCCCCGGGGGAACGAGCTGGGCATCTATGTAAGGGAGCAAACGGGGTGTCAGAGCCTAAGTGAGGCGAGGGGGTATCCGCACACAGGACTCGGGCGTGGTGCACTGGCCTTGGATATCAGAGCAAAAACAGGGTGAGGGGTGTGTTCCCATGGGAGACAGCATGCTAATGAGGATAAGTGATCAGTTACATACAAGGAAACTGATCAAATAGCTAAATCTATTAAAAATATGGGAAGCTAGGTTTCTTACTATTATAGAATGGAGCTATAAGCCCCAGAAGGGAAAAATCTCGAATGACCCCTGTGCTGCCGGATTGGGATTGAAGGCATCCATGTGAATTCA